CAGCACCAACTAAAGTAGATGTTACCACTGCAGAACCAACCAAAGTAGATGTTACCACTGCAGAACCAACCAAAGTAGATGTTACCACTGCAGAACCAACCAAAGTAGATGTTACCACTGCAGAACCAACCAAAGTAGATGTTACCACTGCAGAACCAACCAAAGTAGATGTTACCACTGCAGAACCAACCAAAGTAGATGTTACCACTGCAGAACCAACCAAAGTAGATGTTACCACTGCAGAACCAACCAAAGTAGATGTTACCACTGCAGAACCAACCAAAGTAGATGTTACCACTGCAGAACCAACCAAAGTAGATGTTACCACTGCAGAACCAACCAAAGTAGATGTTACCACTGCAGAACCAACCAAAGTAGATGGTACCACTGCAGAACCAACCAAAGTAGATGTTACCACTGCAGAACCAACCAAAGTAGATGTTACCACTGCAGAACCAACCAAAGTAGATGTTACCACTGCAGAACCAACCAAAGTAGACGTTACCACTGCAGAACCAACCAAAGTAGATGTTACCACTGCAGAACCAACCAAAGTAGATGTTACCACTGCAGAACCAACCAAACCAGACGTTGAAACAGGTTAGTATTGGATTTTCGGTAGGATTTTTAATTTGGCTAGATGTTTGTTTTGTGTCATATTTATTCATCATATTGTTGATCGTAGAAGCAACAAAAACTCCTGAACCACAAGCCAAAGAGAAAACTACTGTAGCAACCACAACCACAGGACCCATTCTGGTAACAACATCCAAGCCGTTAGATTTATGCGCTGATGGGAGTCATRATTGTCATCCTAATGCTTATTGCGTGACAACCCYTGGTTCTTAYAGTTGTRKWTGTAAAGTAGGATTTTCTGGCAATGGTAAATTATGTGAAGGTATGAATATGTTTGTTTGTATGGTAGAAATTGTTGCTGCTCAAAATGTTGTTGTAGTACAGTAGTGATGCTGTAAACTTTGAGGGATTTAAAATATACATATGAATACAATGTTCAATGTTAATTTTATGGAGGTTTTGTGACTCTAGACTTTTTTTGTTTTTTTTTGTACTCTTGTCTACCAATTAACAATATTATTKCAATCTTTTTGTCTTTTACTGACTGTTAAATTTGTTGACATATTAGATAAAAATGAATGCTCTGATGGATCCTCAAAATGTGATAAGAATGCTATGTGTTTTAACACTCTCTCATCTTATCGGTGCAATTGTGACAGTGGATTTACTGGTGATGGATTCATTTGTGAAGGTACTCAGCACTATTTGTTTGTGGGTGAACTTGTGTATTGAACTAAAAATGTGAATGTAATTAGTTTTGAAGAGCTCAGTTGAACTGCTAATCCAATTATGTTTTGATTGGTTAATAAATCATGTATTATTCAATTATT